CTCAAAACAAATGAGAATGAAAACACAACATATGAAAACCAATGGGGTATAGCCAAAGCTATACTAAGAAAAAAGTTTACAGCAATAAATGCCTACATCAAAAAAGTAGAAAAGTTTCAAATAGACAACCTAATGATGCATCATAAAGAACTAAAAAACAAGAACAAACCCAAAATTAGTAGAAGAAATAATAAAAATCATAGCAGAAATAAATAAAACTGAAATAAAAAAATACAAAAGGTTAACAAAATGAAACCTTGGTTTTCTGAGAAGATAAACAAAATTGACAAACCTTTAGCCAGGCTAACTAAGAAAATACAAATAAAAAATCAGAGATGAAAAGGAAACAATACAACTGATGATGAAGAAATCCAAAAGATCATTGGAGATTACTATGGCCAACTACAAGGTATATGCTACTAAAGTGGAAAACCCAGAAGAAATGAATAAATTCCTGGACACAACCTACCAAGATTGAACCAGAAAAAAGCCTGAACAGACAAATAACAAATAACAAATAGAAACAGGCAGTGCCTGTAGCTCAGTGGGTAGGGCACGGGCCACATACACTGTGGCTAGCAGGTTCGAACCCTGCCTGAGCCAGCTAAACAATGACAACTGCAACAAAAAAAAAAATAGCCAGGCATTGTGGTAGGTGCCTATAGTCCCAGCTACTTAGGAGGCTGAGGCAAGAGAATCACTTAAGCCTAAGAGTTTGAGGTCGTTCTGAGCTGTGACACCATGGTACTCTACCCAGGGCGACACAATAAAACTCTGTCTCCAAAAAGAAAAAGAAAAAGAAAAAAAAAAAAAAACAGATAGAAACAATAATTAAGTCTCCCATCAAAGAAAAATCCAGGACCTGATGGTTTCACTGTTAAATTCTCCCAAGTATTCAAAGAAGAATTAATACCAATCCTACTTAAACTATTTCAAAAAATCAAGGAGGAAGGAATACTCTCAGACTCATTCTATGAGGCCTATATCACCCAGATACCAAAACCAAATAAAGACACAACAACAACAAAAAAAAAGAAAACTAGTGGCTCAGCAGCCACACCCACAGCTCAACATCCTCAATAGTCTTCTTTTGAGATACCTGATGAGGTACCTCTGCCAGCAGGCTGGGAGATGGCAAAGACATCTTCTGGTCAGAGATACTTATTAAATCACTCCAGGAAGGCCATGCTCTCTCAGTTGAATGTTGCAGCCCCCACCAGTCCACCAATGCAGCAGAATATGACAAACTCAGCCTCAGGTTCTCTTTTTTTTTTTTCTTTATTTTTGAGGCAGAGTCTCACTATGTCACCCTCAGTAGAGTGCTCTGGTGTCACAGCTTACAGCAACTCAAACTCTTGGGTTTAAGATATTCTCTTGCCTCAGCCTCCCAAGTAGCTGGGACTACAGAAGCCTGCCACAACACCCGGCTATTTTGTTGTTGTTGTAGTTGTCATTGTTGTTTAGTTGGCCCAGGCCAGGTTTAAACCTGGCAGGCTTGGTGTATATGGCTGGTGCTGTAGCCACTGTGCTACAGACACAGAGCCAGGTCCTCTTCCTGATGAATGGGAACAAGCCATGATTCAGGAGGGAGAAATTTACTATATAAACCGTAAGAACAAGAGCACCCCTTGGCTAAACCCTTGTTTTGATAAAGCTGGGAACCGGAGAATCAGTCAGAGTGCTCCAGTTAAACAGCCACCTCCCCTGGCTCCCCAGAGCCGGCAGGGAGGCATTACAGGTGGCAGCAACTCCAACCAGCAGCGGCAGATGTGGCTGCAACAACTGCAGATGGAGAAAGAGAGACTGGGACAACAAGAACTGCTTTGGCAGGCAATGCAGAATATCAATCCCAGCATAGCAAATTCTCCAAAATGTCAGAAATTAGCTCTCTGTAGCCAGTGCCAACATTGGAGCAGGACGATAGGACTCAAAATCCATTGTCTTATCCCAGGATGTCTCAGGAACTGAGAAAAATGATAACCAGTAGCTCAGATCCTTTTCTTAATAGTGGCACCTGTCACTCTCGAGATGAGAGCATAGACAAGTGTACTAAGCATGAACAGCTACAGTGTCCCTCAAACTTCAAATGATTTCCTCAACAGCATTAATGAAATAGACATAGGTGATACTGTTAACCAAAGCAGCCTGCCATCACAACAGAACCATTCCCCAGACTACCTTGAAGCCATTCCTGGGACAAATGTGGACCTTGGGACACTGGAGGGAAATGGAATGAACATAGAAGGAGAGGAGTCGATGCCAAGTCTGCAGGAAGCTTTGAGTTCTGACATCCTTAATGACATGGAGTCCGTTTGGGCTGCCACAACGCTAGATAAAGAAAACTTTCTTAGTGCCCATCGACCCACGAATGGATCAACAAATTGTGGTATATGTACACCATGGAATATTATGCAGGCATAAATAAAGATGGAGACTTTACCTCCTTCGTGTTTACATGGATGGAGCTGGAAAATGTTTTTCTAAGCAAAATATCTCAAGATTGGAATAAAAAGTATCCAATGTACACAGCCCTATTATGAAACTAATTCTATAGCTTTCATATGAAAGCTATAACCTAGTTATAGCCTAAGAATATGGGAAGGGGGAGGGGAGGGGTGGGTGGGTGGAGGAAGAGTGATTGGAGGGATCACCTTTATGGTTTATCTTACTAGGGTACAAGTGAATCTTTCTAAAAGTAGAATATAGATGTCCTGACATAACAACTAAGAAAATGACACGAAGGCTATGTTAACCAGTTTGATAATAATATCTCAAATTTTATATCAAAATATCACATTGTACCCCATGATTGCATTGTTGCACACAGCTATGATTTAATTTAAAAAAAAGAAAGAAAGAAAGAAAGCTTTCTTAGGCAGCGCCTGTGGCTCAGTGAGTAGGGCGCAGGCCCCATATACCCAGGGTGGTGGGTTCAAACCCGACCTTGGCCAAACTGCAACAAAAAATACCTGGGCATTGTGGCAGATGCCTGTAGTCCCAGCTACTCAGGAGGCTGAGGCAAGAGAATCACCTAAGCCTAAGACCTGGAGGTTGCTGTGAGCTGTGATGCCACAGCACTCTACCAAGGGCAACAAAGTGAGACTCTGTCTCTAAAAAAAAGAAAGAAAACTTTCTTATATGGTTATAGAGCCCTAAGGTAGCCTGAATTCTAAATCCATGAAGGATCTAAAGAGATAAGACATATACCTGAAATTTCCAAATAAGCCAGTTACAGTTTTCTGGGTAATACAGAAAAAGATGAACAAATATCTAGCAAGATTCTTTGATCCACTATTTTGACCTTTCTTGTCCATTGCTGCTGTTAATATATTGCCAACCTCTTTCACAGTCGACTCTAAAGAATCAAAAAAAAAAAAAATTTTTTTTCTTTCTTTTGCTATTATAACTACTGGTCGTTTCAGAGGTTGGGGGAAATGAGCCCGTTTGGATGATGGAAGCCATTCCTTTTGCCCAGTTAGATAATCACTGATCATTTTTAACTCAGACTTGGAAGTCAGATGCTTCATGTCACAGCATTAGTTTGTTCAAGCGATTGTTTCTTCAGCTGCCTTTGGCCAGTGGAAAAACATGACCTACTGGTCTGACAAGCCAAAACTGTTGTATCTAATATTAAGAACTTAATGCTGATTTAAGAGATAGCTAAAACCAGGGCTGAAGACTGTTTTACTTTAAGTGTTTTCTTTTCCTCCTAGTGCTCTCTATTAGTCACAGAAGGCCTGAGACAATTTCCATAGAAATGTATTAATTATTGCCACCTACTCTAGATACAGCTTTGGTGGATATTTGTGTGGGTATTTTCTTGTTGGTTAGTTGGTTGGTTGGTTTTGTCAGAACCTAGGCAATTACCATATTAATGAATCTATTTATAATTGTAGCTTGGGACAGTGGAGTGCTTTTGGTAAAATCTACATTTCCTGATTTTTTACCATCTTATTTAAATTATGATTATTTCTGCTCTCTCTCTTACACATACACACACACACACAATGTTTATAATAGCGTGGTAACAGACTGTACCTTTGTTTTAAGGTTTCCCTACTTTCTAATTTATTTTTTAAATGGTAGCTTTGAATATATGCATTTAGAATACATGGCTTAGTAGTTTATATTTCATGGGTAGTTTAAATCCAGTTGAGGCAGTCTGCCAATGTTTGAAGTAGCTTAGTGTTGTAGAAAGCCTTTTTACTATGGATAGTGCTCTATGCCCTCTGGGCACACAATAGATATTTCTGATGAATTGGGAAAGAGCAAATAAAAAATGGCTTTATTTTCTTCCTTGCACTCCCAATTTTGAGTCTTGATAGGAAATCACTGAGTACATTCATAACTTACATGACAGTAGTAAGCTTTATAGAGGTTTACCTTTCTTAAAATCCATAAAATCTTGGAAGTTTACCTTCACTTTAGTTTTCATTTATAATGAACATATTAAAGACTAGATTGAAATGCTTCCTCTAATATACTTTTTACTTTTAAGACTTGCTCCTACTTTAGTATGCTGAAAATTGACCCAGGATAGTATATAGAATACTGTAAGGTCATGAGTTAGCTGGCAAAGCAATCAGATTGATACATGTATATTGGTAGTTGAACTTAGCAAAGAAATAGAGATAATCATGTTTATGCCTTTATTTTTACAGGAAGAGCTATAACTAGAGTGTGTGTCTATAAGAGTAATAATGGTTTCCAAATAGTATTTTTTAAAGGAACAAAATGAGCATGAATTAACTCTTCAGTATAAACTATGAAATAACTTTTGGTTATGAATTAGAAGTGTGGCACCAGCTAAGCAACTCTATGACTTAAGGGTCTTTCAGTGTTTTTAGAATAAGCCCTATTTGCAAGGTTTTATTAACAAATATAAAATCTTCTTTTCTGCCTAAAGCTGCTATGCAAAGCCTAGCATAGCTTGGGAAGATGGTATTTTTTTTTTTCAGTTGTGTAATCTAAGTATTTCGACCCTTGTTTAGAGGAGTGCAGTGCTCGCTTTGGCATCACATATACTAAAATTGGAATAATACAGAGAACATGAGCAAGGCCCCTGCACAACGATGACACCCAATTTGGAGGAGTGCCAAAGATGGGAGTAAGAAGTTTTATTTTTAAGTACGTTTCAGTTCTTAAAAAAAAAATGCAGTCACTGTATTATATATAATAATTCATAGGTCAATCACTCATAATTAACTCCAAGGCTTTTACTAGGAAAACAACAGACAGATTATATCTTGAATTAAGTCTAGGGGGAAAGTCTAAGGCCACTGTACAGATGCACTGAGTTAGTTTTAGAGTGATAATGAAATTCTACCTAGATGCAAAATTGATTGATGATATCATGTTGGATTTTTGTTTTTAATCAAAGCTATTTGGAAGGAGTGCCTGTCATTTGCCAATATGACAAATTAAGAATAGATCTTATGTATCAGCATAGTAGCAATAGCTTAGGGGAAAGGTGGGAGGATGTGGGGGGAGGGGTTTAAAAAAAAAACTATAGGCCAATATCTCTGATGAACATAAATGAAAAAATTCACAACAAAATACTATCAAACTAAATTCAACAACACATTGAAAAGATCATTCATCAGCTTGGTGCCCATAGCACACTGGTTACAGCGCCAGCCATATACACTGAGGCTGGCAAGTTCAAACCAGCCCAGGCCTGCTAAACAACAATGAAAACTGCAACAAAAAAATAGCCAGGCATTGTGGTGGGCACCTGTAGTCCCAGCTACTTGGGAGGCTGAGGCATAAGAATTGCTTAGGCCCAAGAGTTTGATGTTACTGTGAGCTGTGATGCCACATCACTCTACCAAGGGTGACATAGTGAGACTCTGTCTCAAAACAAACAAAAAAAAAGATCATTCATCATGATCAAGTGGGATTCAGCCCAAGAATGCAACAATGGGTCAACATATGCAAACTTATCAGGGTGACACAGCATATCAACCAAATGAAGGACCATAACCATATGATCATTTCAATTGATGCAGAAAAGGCATAAAGTTCAACATTCCTTCATGATAAAAACCCTCAAAAAACTGGATATAGAAGGAACATACCTCAACATGATAAAAAGTCATACATGACAGGCCCATAGCTAGTATAATACTGAATGGAAAGAAGCTCAAAGCCTTTCCCCTAAGATCTGGAATGAGACAAGGATGTCCACTATCACCACTGTTATTTAACATACTATTGCGAGTTCTAGCTAGAGAAATCATATAACAGAAAGAAATAACAGGCATCTAAATCAGAAAGGAAGAAGTCAAATTGTCCTTATCCACAGACAATATGATCCTACATCTAAAGAAAACTAAAGACCCCACTAAAGAACTATTAGAGAGGGTTCCCTGGGGAAGATGGCTGACAGGAGCCAGCTTTCAACAGAAGCTTCCATCCAGAGGAACATATAATAGCCAGAAAGAATCCAATAAAGCTGAAGGTCGGGAGTTGAGCTGAGAGAGAAGATTGATAACTGTACATCATCCCTGCTGAGGCAAGCTGCAACTCCAAGGAAGCAAATTTCAGGTAAAAAAAAATACCCATCCCAAAGAGGACACAAGTCCATCCCTTCCTCCAAGAGAATGGCTTGCTGTATGATCTCTATAAGCAAGCAGTGAACTGAAGATGTCTTGTCTCACCCCATTGGAGAGAGTCACTGGAGGCTGGGACTCCTTCTCCAAAGAGACCTCACTGTGAGCCTAAGCATTCTCTTGCCAGGCATAAAAGTTGAACAAATATTTTCCCTGTCATTTTGAACTCCCTGTTCACCCTTCTCCCTTCTCTTGGCAGTCTAGAAGCCCAACCCCTGCAGAGACCAGAATGCCCGCAGTTCTTTGCTAGGGGCTGGGCATTGGATGGGCCACAGCAGCAGCTGTGTTGAAACAGTGAATCAAGTAGCAGTGGAGCAAGGCACGGGGAGAGGGGGAAAGTGTATATCAGTGGCAGGTGGAAGCTCAGGACCCTTGGTGGAGGCACCTTGCCATTCAGCATCAGTGATAGTAGAACAATCCCACCAGGCTGAAATTTTAGAGAGAAACCTCCCCAATTCTGTGGACTGCCAGAGGGAGTCAGACCTCGCCCTGTAGTACAGCTGGGGCAGAAGCATGGTCTCTGAGGGAGAAAAACTTTTGCTGCATTGTTAACCTCTGGCTTGGAAGAAACTCATGTGGAGCACTCCCTGGGTTCCATTGAGCACCAGAGGAGTCAGGCTTTAGCTCCCCCTGCCAGTTGCTGGCAAACTCTGGCTGGGCTGAGGAGGCACTGACTCCCCTTTGACTCTGGTAGGTACAAAACCCTAGAGCATTTGCTCACTGGAGGAATAGGGCCACAGCTCCATGGGGTTACCAGTGACTAGGCATGGCTGAGGTGCGTGCAAGATGGGGAAGGAGGCACCAGTTCCCCTGGACTAACTCTTTTGCTAGGAGGGCCTTTCTGACTCCATGGAGAACCTAAGTGACACCTGAGCTGCCAGTGGATGCCTGCTATCTAGTTGCTGGAGACCTTTTGAACTCTTCCACTTGATCTGTGATTGTGCTGACTGGGACAATTGGTTTGGAACTCTTGAGCTAGGCTCTTCACCCAGGGACCGTCCAAGGTTGAGCCCTGGTTGTGCCGTAGTGGGAGTGTCTGATTCTCCTCTTCCAGTTGCTGCCCATTGAGGGTGGGGTGTCTTAGTTGCTGGTATTTCTCCCCAGCTGAGATTTCAGCCCAAAGCCACTAATTCACTAGGATCAGTTAGCAACTAGCTGAATACAAGACAGAGTCACCTAGCCCCACCACACCAAGCAGGTCACCAGAATCTCAGGCTCTAGTACTAAACAGGACCTTTATAAAACTGTAGAGGGAAAGCCACAGTCATCAGTCCCAGATCTTTGATAAAGGGCTGCTAATTACAACTCCAAGAGCCCTTAATCCAATTTCACCTTACCAGCTTCCCTAACCAAACTGAGAAAAATAATCATGGGGCAGCATCAGCAGAAAAACTCTGGCAACATGAATAATCAGAGTAGATCAACTCCCCCAAGGAACAACAAAGGAGGCACAACAGAAAATGTCATTCATAAACAAATGGCTGAGACATCAGAAATTGAATTCAGAATATGGATGGCAAATAAGATTAATAGAATGCAAGTAAAGTTATAATTAGAAATTCAAGGAGTAATTCAAAAGATGTTCCAAAAATTTAATGAATTCAAAGACAAAAACTCCAAAGATTTTGACATATTGAGGCAAGAATTTGCAGCATTCAAAGATCTGAGAAATGTAATAGACTCCCTCAGTAACAGAAGGGAGCAGTCTGGAGAAAGGATCTCTGACATTGAAGACAAAGCTTTTGCATGCTCTCAAATGCTCAAAGAGGCAGAGAAGTGGAGAGCAAAAATGGATCATTCCCTGTAAGAGTTGTGGGACCACTCCAAAAGAGCAAACATTCACCTTATAGGAATTCCTAAAGGAGAAGAGGATGGTCCTAAAGGCAATGATGCTCTACTCCAAGGTATAATTGAGGAAAATTTCCCAAGCAGGGCAAGAGATACAGAAATTCACATAGCAGACAGTTTCAGAACCCCAGCATGACTCAATCCAAATAAAGCATCAACTAGACCAGTGGTTCTCAACCTTTCTAATGCCACAGCCCTTTAATACAGTTCCTGTGGGTCACGACCCACAGGTTGAGAACTGCTGACCTAGACACATTGTAAGTAACTTTGCCAAAGTTAATGTAAAGGAGAAAATTCTGCAAGCAGCCAGATGAAAGAAAATTATAACCTACAAAGGGAAGAATATTAGAATGACTGCAGATTCCTCAGCTGAAACATTTCATGCCAGAAGAGGATGGCCATTGACCTTCAATCTCCTAAAACAAAACAACTTTAAGCTCAGGATCCTGTATCCCGTTAAACTGAGTTTCACTTGTGATGGAGAAACCAAATACTTTAATAACATACACATGTTGAAGAAATCTGCCATAACTAAACCAGCTCTCCAGGATATTCTCAGACCCATCCTGCACAATGACCAGCACAATGCTCTACCACCAAAGTAAACTCACTTAGAAACTTTTGAGTGAAAATCCACAGTGCTGAAAGGATTAAAAAACATCCATTGGACTTTCAAAAAACTTGACACCCAAAACACTAACAGGCTTATCAATTCTCTCAATTAATGTGAATGGTTAAAATTGTCCTCTAAAGAGGCACAGGTTGGCTGACTGGATACATAAACTCAGACCAGATATCTGCTGCATATAAGAATCTCATTTTACCTTAAAGGATAAAAACAGACTTAGGATGAAGGGATGGACTTCTATAATTCAGGCAAGTGGAAATCAGAAAAAAGCAGGGGTTGCAATTTTATTCGCAGATACAATAGGCTTTAAACCAACAAAGGTAAGGAAAGATAAAAATGGTCACTTCATATTTGTCAGGAGAATCACTCAATAGGAAGAGATTTCAATTTTCAACATTTATGTGCCCAACCAGTATGCTCCTCAATTTATAAAGGAGACCCTAGCAAAAATGAATGATTTGATATCTTCCTGCACCATAATAGAGATTTTTAACACCCTTTGGCAATATTGGATAGATCCTCCAACGATAAACTAAACAAAGACATTTGGGATTTAAACTTGACCCTACAACAAATGAACTTAACAGACATCTACAGAAGATTTTATCCTAACAAAACTGAAGACACATTCTTCTCATCAGGCCATGGAACATCCTCCAAAATTGATCACATCTTAAGTCACAAGTCTAACCTTAGCAAATTCAAAAGAATAGAATTATTCATTGTATTTTCTCAGACAATCATGGAATAAAAGTTGAACTCAACAACAGGAATCTTCATACCCAAACAAAGACATGGAAACTAAATAATTTTATGCTGAATGATAGCTGGGTCATAAATGACATTAAGAAGAAAATTACCAAATTTTTGGAACAAAACTATAATGAAGACACGATTTATCAGAACCTGTGGGATACTACAAAGGCAGGGAAATTTACAGTGTTGCAAGCCTTCCTCAAGAGAATGGAAAGAAAGGAAGACAACAACTTTTTGGATCATCTCAAGCAACTGAAAAAGGAA